AGTCACCCCAGGAAACTGACTAATCTATGCATGGCTGAATCTTGAGGAGTCAACTCTCCAACGGGACAAAAAGACTGTTTTCCACACCAGTGATTTCACTGCAAGGCATTGTCACTCCTTGTCTGTATCTGCTGCTGTAGTTCTCACCCGTCTTTGCCATAAGTTTGGCAAAAACTGCCCCTGCTGATTGGATTTATTAGCTCTCTTCTACCTTTTTTGGGCAGGATGCATAATTACTGTTTATTGTTTCTGATATGGTCTCCCTTCATGGTCCCAAGAGCCCTCATCCTGTGACCTATGTATGCATACTACTTGGGTAGGAAATGTTGTCACTAGGACTTTGCTTTTCCATATTTACTATTCTTGTGCAGGCACTGTCATCGGGTCATACACTCACAACCATGCCACCTGTGCTTCCATGGTAATCACCATATCTGCTTCAACCCCACCCACCACCCTCAGGAGCAATGGTTAGAGATCAGGAGCATCAGCAATCCTGAGTCCCTTGTCAGCCACACCCAGATGTTTAGCCCTGATAAACCAGCATCTATGTTCTTTGATGCATGTGTGGCCATAGACCAAGGTGGGTATGAAGGTATAGGCTGTGGTTATAGGGTCTAGCTTGGGAAAAAGCCTATATGTCAAATAAAAAGTATATGTACAGGAGAGACAACTCTTGGCCGTGTGATGATGTAGGTTCTTATTATTACCCTTACTGGAGCTGTGTTTCATGGACCACATGGGAAAGGACAAAACATGCAGCCCTCCTTCACAAGGGGACAACTCCCCCAAACTGCACTCCTGATATCTGTAATCCTATAAATTTTACTATACTTAAGCCACTGATTGGACATGGGGACATGTAATTGGCATAAAGATAAACAAAAAGGGCTTTGATCCTGGACTCTGATGCACCTCAAATTAGTAACTGATACCCATGACAGTTCCTCATACCAAGTTTTTCACTCTTTTTATGAGGGGATAAGGAGTAAATTTTCTATGTCTACCAAGGCCAAAAACTTGTTCCTCTCACTGGCTGAATCTATAGCTCAGACACTGAATGTCACTTCATGCTATGTTTGTGGGGGGACCAACATGGGATGCCATTGGCCTTGGTAAGGAAGGGACCTGGACCCACAGGAACCTTTTAATAAGACTGCTTTCCCAAAACACAGGAAAGGCATCTGGCTCCTAAAGACTTCCATCATTGGGAATTACACTGCCCAAGAGACCCAATGATGGGGGACACCTAACCATACAGAACCTCAGCCCCACACACTGGCCAGCTTCTTTAATTTCAGGAAAGCTTGGGACAACCTTACCACAAACATAGATTGGCAATCACCCAGAGGGCTGTATTGGACATGTGGAAAGCAAGCTTATATAGTGCTACCTAGCAGGTAGTTTGGGTTTTACATGCTAGGCTCAATCAGACCATCCTCTTTCTTGCTTCCTCTCAGACAAGGTTAAAAAAAAAACTGGGAGTCTCCATATATAAAAAAAAGATTAAATAGACAAAATGGGGTGCCTTAAAAATTGACAATTAAAAACATGATAAATGGCCTCGTGAGCGAATCATCCAGTACTATGGTCCTGCCACTTGGGCCAAAGACGGGTCTTGGGGCTATTGCACCGCTATATATTTGCTCAACCACATCATCAGGCTGCAGGCTATTGTTAAAATTGTGACTAATAAAACTACAAGAGCTCTCAATTTGCTGGCAAAACAAAGCGCTAAGATGCACAATGCCATTTATCAAAACCATTTGGCTTTAGACTATTTGCTTGCTTCTGAGGGAGGAATTTGTAAAAAATTTAACTTAAACAACTGCTGCTTACACATTAATGATTAAAAAAAAGGTTATAAAAAAATCACAGATAAAATAAAAAAGCTTGCCCATGTCCCTGTCCAAACTTGGGGAAGATGGACTCCCAAATTACCTGCTTTGATGATGGTTCTCTGCCTTAGGCAGTTTCAAAACCCTGATAGGCGCAATAGGCCTTATCCTGGAAACACGTTTAATATTACCCTGCCTGGTTCCCCTGGTATTGCAGTCTTTTAGGACCATTATAGAGGCCACTATTAAAAAAAAAAAAAACAGCCACACATGTAATGGAATGATGTAGCAGGGAGGAGGGCCAGAAAAGAAACAAACAGGCTATGTTCTGATAATGAGGCAGGGGGAAGGGACAGCAAAGCAGAGAGATAAAACTTAAAAAATTAAAACATGAAGGAGGTCACATAGCACTGGGAAAATGAAATAGTCAATGAAGTCACATGTAGCCACAAATGGGTTGAGCTTTGCTTTTTGCTTCTGTAACCTACTGCAAGGGTATATAAGATAAGACCTCTTTGTTCTCGGGGCTCAGCTGTTGGACACAAGTCCACTGGGTCTCTGCTGACACAATAAAATGTTGGTTCCTGCTAAATTGCCTCAGTGTCCCATAACTCAACTTGAGATTTCTGCAACAACATTGCTACTACTCTGACCATAACACTGGCTCTGGAGAGGTCAAGGTCCTCATACATCATTTTGACAGATCTCAGATCTAAGAAAATGACAGAGGTGCTACTGTCATCCCACACTCCTCCTTCATGAGTTCATTTAACAAATACAGATTGACCTCTATGATTCGTTAGAATCATACAGAACTCTGGCCTCCCAGAGCTTGCTTTGTGTCATTACATTAACTAGTTTCTTCCTGATCTGTCAGGGATTTGAGGCCTGCTACAAATAACTGCAGATCAGTGAGATGACCTGAAGATGTAAACTACAGTTTTCCATGTACACATGAAAAGGGGTGGTGGAAGAGAAAACTAAGTTTCAACAGCCTCTAGACCCATGTTTGGGGAATTTTACAAGATTCCAAAAAAAGGAAACTATGAATTGTTTCATGCTTCAACACATCTCCATTTCCCTTCCTTATTTGGTGGTTCAGTTCATACCAAGAAAAGTTTTCTCTCTAGGCAAACTACTCTTTTTTACCTCTGCACCATCTGAGTTGCCTGGCTAGTCAAATGTGGTTCATGGACCAGGCACATGACCATCACCTGACAGCTTGTTAGAAATGCACTCTCAAACAGCACTCGGCTTCCTGAATCAGAATCTGATTGCAACAGTGTTCCCGGTGATCCTCTGGCGAGTAAAGGTTTGAGAAATGTTGAGCTAGCAAGCCTTGATTTTCTGAAATTATGCAAATCTTAATTTACAAGAGAAGCATTTTTAAAAAATTCTTTTCTGATCTCATTAACCACCAATAGATGCTAACTACAAGACTCTTGGAAAGCCTGGTATTTTTGGAATATGTCTCTCTGAAAGAATATTGTTTAACATGTTTCTTACTTTGTGTTTTACCATCAGAAACCCCCCCTCACACACACACACACACACACACACACACACACACACACACACACACACACACCATGAGTACCTTATCCTTTTTCTTTCTTTCATTTTTTAAAGTCAATACTCAAGCTTCAAGCTGGAAGAAAATCTAAGCTGAACCACTTGGGGTAGTCATGCCTCTACTACCAATTTCTAAGAGAATATCAGAGGTTTCAGAGTGGCAAGTGAAACAAAGAAAAAGAGCTCCAGACTCAGAAGCAGAACATTGAAGCTTAGGTCCTTGGCTAAATCACTTAACGAATCTTAGATTCAATTTCCTGTCAATAAAGTAGAAGCAACAAACTAAGTGATCCCAGAGGTTATTTCCAACCCAAAGTATCTGAAAAAATTGAAACAGTGTGCTTTGTATTTCCTCTTCTTCTTTTCTGCTGTGCTGAATGAACAATGCAGAGCAAGAGAGAGGCCTGAAAAGTCCTCTCATTGATGGGCAGACTGTCAGGCATTCAGGTGTTGCCTTGAGGTGCCCTCATCCAAGGTGCTCCAGCTTCCCTAGCCCTGCAATTTTCTCCTGCAGGAAAGACTAGTTTTGCAGAACTGCATGTGACAGCTCTCAACTGAGCCACCCCAAAGCAGGAATGAACCATAATTTATATGCATATGCATAAGCTCTCCTGTAGACTGTAATTCTGCTTCTCTCTTTGGAAGAGAAGTGCTATCCAGATGCTATGCAGATGTGATCATCAGGCTGATAGTCTTTTCAGACTTTATTCCTGTGGAACCACAGCCTCCTCCTGTCCACAACCCAGCAGGACAAAGAGACATGGCACCCAACTCACCCAGGAAATGGAGGAGACTGACAAATCTTGGCATAAATGAAACATCTCTGGGTTCCAAGATGGAGAAGGAAGGATAGGTGCTAACCAGTACGTGGGAATTCCCTAAGGGATTTAGCTTATGATGATTTTGCCTTAAAGGGGGAAGGCACCATAGCAAGAATATTCAACCCTAAGATATGTCAGATGTTTGAGGTTTAGGATACTCCATATGTAAATTGTGGTGATGTGAAGTACAGCCTACCCAAGAGAATATTAGTTCCTAAGAATTACCATAGATTGTTATCTTAATGAAGATGTATACCCTTGAATCAATAATGACTGGGAGGTCCGTGGGAATAAAGGGACTAACAGGTGAGCCTCTTCCCTCATGTGAAATGACTAAGGATTCAGACCAATGGGAATTGGTCATGTCTAATAAGTGAGATGGGAACAGGGTACAGTTCGAAGAGGGCAAGGACTTTGGAACTTGGCCAGGAGATGGCACACACACTACTTGTTTACTTGACACTCCAGACCTAATCAGTGACTGTCCCCAGAATAAGTGACTCAAAAGCGAGCCCAGTTGCACTTATGCCACAGCCATGCCAAATCTGCATGAAGGTGATTTCTAGGAAAGTAACTGTCCTTATTTAATGCTGTATGTCACTATACATAGGAATGTTACAAAGAATTTCGAAAGGAAGGTTTTTAAATTTTTTGTAATCCTAGGGATCAAACTGAAGTAGGAACTACACTACAGCCCAAGCAAAAGCCACCTTTTAAATCCCTCTGTCCATTGCAGAAATAACCTGAGCCAGATAGGACCACCACTCACCGGTGCACCTCAGGAGGCTCCCTCTGGATTTTGGAGCTTTCTTCCACCACCTCTTTGGCAACTTTACCACTATAAAAGACAGAAACAATGTATGTACAGAGACACTCAGAAGAGAAGGGGAGGGTATACACACATCTTTTCTTTTTAACTTCACAATGATCTGAGCCCTATCTACAAATCCACCCCTTCCCTTCTTCCACAAGGGGAAGTTCCTATGGAGAGCTCAATGGAGTGGAAATGGAAGACAACTCAGGGGTATAAACTCAAATTGACTTATAAGCAAAACATTCAAATGTAAATGACTGCCCCTTTCCCCAACCCCATCACCACAATGGAACCATCTGTACCCACCTATATCGAAATCTACTTCCTTTAAAAAATATCTTGCTGCTTGACACAGTCTTGATCTGACTGGATTTTGCATACCTTTAAGAAAAAGCAAACTGGTGTCAGTGACATTGGAAACTCCAACTAGCTGTAGAACTGTGGTAATCAGGTATTTTTGGCAGCAGTGGGGTTTGAACTCAGGGCCTTATGCTTGCTAGGCAAGCACTGTACCACTTGAGCCATACCTCCAGCCTGGTAATCAGATCTTTTGACTACAACAAAGAATACATTTTACATGGTGATTCAGCATGAACACACAAGAACCATAGAAATTTCATAAAGGAATAACTACTACTTTATGTGTATTCCAATCTGATGCCATCACTGGTATCATCTAATGCAACCTGCTTTCCTTTGTGAAAACAGGTCATGAGCCACACATTCAGATTTATACTCTGTTATTGCGTCATAGCCTACCAAGAGGACTGGGCAATGTTGATAATTAAGTGGAATTCTTACCCAATTTTTCTTTGAGAGATACAGAGAACAGAATTTTGTGATGTGGCACTGTCAAGTTCACTGGGGTTGGGGGTTCTCTGCTGGCTATGCTTGTGTAAATATTCCTGTGGCAATGTGAAACACCTTTTTAGCCACACAGGTAACTTACTGTGTTACAGAAAACTCTATTATTTCCCAAGCAAGAGAACAAGGGCTGAATCATCATTTCATGGTCCTAGCTTCTGTGTCACCATGACCTAGTGCCCTTTAAAATAATCCACACTGGTAGATGATTCAGATACACAAGGAACAAGAAGGCCAGCCAAGCCATGATTCAGCACCTTTGACCATCCTCATAAATAAGAACAAAACAGCACTGAAATGTATGGAGAATATGAGCTGACCCAAGGCTGAAGATGGGGCCCTAATTATTATGACAACCAAAGATATCTCTACAGCAGTCACTTTAAGCTTTATGCAATTAAATTTAAAAAGTTAGAACAGGTCTGCCAGAGTTTAGAATCATTGAAAATACTGATAATTGCAAAATCTTTAAATGGCACACAAATAAAACCAATATGCTCTGTAGGATTCTAAGCAAACACATACAACAGATCTAGAAATCCAGGTAGAAGTTTCAGGGTAGGCAATGATCCCCAATCCTGAGCCACCTGAAGCTCAATCTATTGGTTTAGGAGATGAGCCCTGCCCTGCACACCAAACATAGCCCAGGAAGACACAGGTCTCTGCACTCATCGCATGCAAGCCTTAGAGGAGAGGTGAATGTAAATCTAGTAACCATGCAAATACATGTAAATGACAAATGGTGGGGATTGCAAGATAGGAAAAGGTGCAATGAGGGCATAGGAGAGTAGGGCTGGTCTAGTCTGGTTGCTGGGGAAGGTGCCTGTGGAAAGGACATTTGAGCTGAGATTCAGGGATGAATAAATAATGACCTGGGATGGTGGTAGGTGTGACCAGCAGAAGGGCCAACAACCACAAAAGCCTTCAGCCTGAGGATTTCCAGAACTAGAAAGTGATTGTTGTTGTTACTGGAATGAACAGATGTACGGAGTGGAAAAAGTCAAACCTGGAGAGACAGCCAGAGTCTCATTTTGCAGGACCTGCCCTTAAGTACTCTTTGTTAAGGACTTGACTTTATCTAGAGAACACAGAAAGCCATAGTAATAATCTTTCACAAAGAAGCACCTTCCTCATGCACCATGTGCACCCGGTGAACAGCCTGAGGTGACATAAAAGGGAGAGGTGGTAGCTCCCTTTCTACTGGGTCAGCCTCAGCTTCTAGGTCTCATAAGGAGGCTGTGAATCTCTCCTCAAACTCCAGCTGGCCTCTTGGTGGGAGGGCTCAGTGCTGGACTGTCTCCACAGAAAATTCTAAAGTAACCCAAGAAAAACAGGCAAAAAGATACATTTTACAGAAAAAGCCAACCATTTTCTGTTCAGGACAAAAGGAAAGAAAAAGGTGTTTGCTTCTTCCTGGTAGCTGATTCCCCTGAATGATTGTTTGTGTCATTTGATGTGCCAACAGCATTACCACCAAGTCCATGCTGTCCCAAATATTCAGGTGGACTCCTGAGATCTTTGATAGAATTTTAACAGGGGAGTTTAATCTAATAATTCAAACAACACACACCCAATGGGAACTGGAAAACAAAGACCAGAGGAGGAAGGGAAATGGGTATGGGAAAGAGAATGGTGGCCAGTTGAGTTACACAAATCCAATGTACCAGTTTCAGATCAAGTGTAGCATTAGATACACTTGCAGGAGGTTCTAAAATCACAGGTTCTCTTTTATCATTCATCAGTTAGTCAATACTGGTTGTTCCAGATTGCAGTTATTCTTTGCCTACAAGAATTGCCTGCAAGCACCTGTTTTGTTTATATTGGTTGTATTCTTAAAAGTGGAATTGCTGGTTTTCACAGTAAGGAATATTTATCAAACTGTTTGCTTCTATGTCTCTAATGTTTTGCATATCTTCAGCAATGAATGTGAGTGCTAGCTGGCTACATCCTTACCAATCCTTTCAAGTGGCAAGCCTTCTAATTAAACCCTGATGCATGTGTGAATATAAATGCAATTTTTACTGATATAAAAAACACATTCTTCCCATAGTTTGTGCAATTAATATGTGTTAAGATTATAATTAAAAATAAATTTTAAAAAGAAGTCAAATAGATAAGGCGCACCAAAACTGAGGATGGTGGGGAAGAATAAGTTATGGTTCATTATAGCACAGCAGAGTAACGATTAATTATAACAATCTTATGAGATATTTCAAAATAACTAGAAGAGTATGAAGGTCCCCAATAAATGAGTAATTTTTGAGGAGATGGAAGTGCTTATTTTTCTGATTTGATCATTATACATTCTATACATCTATCAAATTATTATACTGTACCCATAAAGATGTACAAACACTATGTCTCAATAAAAATAAAAAGTAAAATGATTTAAAAACGTGATCTCAGGTTGATCATTCAAGATTGCAATTCAATAGGTGTGGAGAGGGGGTTGCATTTTAATCAAACACCCCAAGATGACTCCAAGGCAGTCCACTTGCATTTGAGAACCTTTGCATTTTTAAATTTTCCTCAGATGACCTGAGAGACATTTTCCCTCAAAGACCAGTGGCACAGATTACCACCTGCCTGTAGTTCTATGACCTTGATCATATCATGTAGCTTTCCTGAGCCTTGGTTTCTCTGTGTATTTTTCAAAGGAGGAGAGTGTTAAAACACCTACCTCATAGTGCTCAGAGAAAAGGCACACAAGATTAAATGATTTAAAAGTAACCAGTGTTTGATTTGAAAGGCACTAGCCTGCTCCTTATGTAATAGTTCCCCTCTCTTCCTTCCTCCATCTGCCTTCATTTCCTCCTCCTTCCTTAATATCACTGTCTAAACCTCTCCATTGTCCTCTTGCTATTGAGCTACCATAGCCAATCCTCCAAATCATGAAGTTCCATGGAACCATGTTAAGCACTCTGAAAACAGATAAGTAGCTCTAACTCTACCTGGCATGTTCCAGGTGCTCAGCTTACCAGACTCTCCCATCAACAGCAAGTAAGGGGAAGAATTTCTTTCCACTTAATGCAATGCAATAATCTAATCACCCTGGTTAGATTAGCAACTCACTCTCCTCTAGCCTCTGCCTTGTCTCCTGCCTGCCCTCTCCCAACTCCACCTCCAACTCCCCATCAGCATTCCAACCCAGCAGTATGGCTGTGTTCAAGCATCTGACCTAACAGGGAAACCCAGATAGTCTCTGCAGAGCAGAATGCCCTCACTCCAGCCTCAATTTCTCCTTTGACACCTGCTACACCAGAGGCTGGGAATGGAGGTCAGGTTGGGTGCTGGGTAGGAGGATATTTAATAGTGCTCCCAAACCACCTCTGCAATTAACAACATAATCTCATTGTATTTTGAGGCTTCTGAAGTAATACTAGCAGCATTTGTTATTATTATTGAGCTTTTATTATGGGTAATGCACTATTCAAAGCATATTTAATACACTAATTCATTTTATCCCCACAGCTCTCTCCCAGAAGGAGATTTTTCCATAAGGAACCTGAGGCACTGAGAAATGAAATAAATTATCCAGAGTCACATGATAGAAGCTGAGGATCTAGGCTGAAATCCCAAGTCTGTCTGATTTCTGTAGTTTAATTTTTAAAATACTTAAGCCATACAGGCTCTGAAACTGTAATGAACACCAGTCATACAGGAGGCTTTTTAAAACACAAATTTCTGATTTCTGTAAATCTTGGGTAGAGCTCAGAGAATGGTGTAAAGCCCAGACCCAGAGTCTACATTTCCAACAAATCCTGGAGAGTGCTTATGTTGGACTAGGGACCTCACTTAGTGAATCGCTGGGTGAGAGTGATGTTTTCACCCTATGAGTGCACATTAGCACCACCTGAGAAAGTCTTCATCCAAATGTGAATTTCTTAAAATAACAGATACATTGAGATACAATCTTCATGATAAAAAGTTCACCCTTTCAGAGTGTATACTTTGGTAGTTTTTAGTATAATTCACAAAGTTAAAAATGATCAAAATGTCAATCACCAATGTTAACAGTAAAATATTTTCATCCCCCCCCCAAAGAAACCCCTCTGCTCACAAGTAGTCACTCCTATTCTCCTCCTCTTATCCTATACCCTCAGTCCTAAGGAACCACTAATCTACCTTCTCTGTCTCTATGTATTTGCCTGTTCTGGACAATTTATATCAATTGAATCATGATATGTGACATTTTGCAAAATGTACGTGAAAACACTACACTTCGCATATTTTAAGGTTCATCCATGTTGCAGTATTATTAGTATTTTGTGGCTGAATAATATTCCATTCCTCCTTCCTCCACTGCTCTGATCCCTTCCACAACAGGGGTCCTGGCCCTGCCTCCAGCTGTCAGTAACACAGCATTTTATGGCTTGAGCTAAAGCAGAAAATCCCTGATCATGTTTCTCCTTTGATTTGGACATTCAGACATTTAGGTTGTTTCTGCTTTTTTAATGAATCATGCTGCCATAAACATTCATATGCAAATCTTGGTGAGAACTCAGGTTCTGATTTAA